AAAATTATACCAATCAAACACATTTGAAATTATTTTCCCTTAAAAACATTTTCTAGGCAAATCTTTTCCCTTTCTTTCCACCTATTTTCCACCCTTGCAATCAAACGCACCCTAACAAAACAATATACTAAGGGCTTGTTTGAGCCCCATTTTATTGTAAGAATGCATTTTGAAACAGTAGATTGATGGAGAATGTGTGGTTAAAAAACAAGGAAAAGTTTTGAATTTGCGTGTAATATTATTTTATTGAAGAATGTATGGTTGAAAAGAAGAGAGAAAAAAATGTATTTTGAAAATAATGGGGATCAAACAAGCTCTAAACGTTCTTCAGTTACACTATCTAATCTGAGATCTCCCAAGTTACTTTTTCTCTGTAATTCTATAGATATGTTCAACCTGGGTCTTAAACATTAATCAAGATCCACAATGGAAACAAGACAGATGAAAATTCATAAAAAGACAGAAAAGAAGATAAAACTTTCACCTGATAATGGAACCTCTGTTTGAATCAGGGGAAGTGGCTCTCCATTTGCAACACGAATTTGCCATTCCACAAGATCTTGACCGACAATCATCTCAGTAACAGGATGTTCAACCTGCAAAATTGGTCAGTATATAATGAGTAAAGTTGGATGTTAGACCTCGGATATAGAGAAATGGCATAGGATGGACATATCAAACCACCTGAAGGCGGGTGTTCATCTCCATAAAATAAAATTGTCCTGAGAGAGTATCAACTATAAACTCTACAGTGCCAGCATTATGATAATTCACTGCCTTTAAAAATCAAAAGAGGAAAAGCCAAGTTATAAAATTGAGAAGAACTGAGATTGAAACATCAAAAGAGATTAAAATATAAATAATAGCATACCAAACAAACTAATGAGAAAAAAGAGATGATAATACAGTGAGTTACCCTCAGGTACACATATTTACTAATCCATTTGCAAAACAAATAACAAGGACAAAAAGAAGAGAGAGAGAGAGACTATATTTTTTTCGCTAATCACTCAACCAAAGGACTAAACATTTAAATCTTCTAAGTACAGATTAAAATATAATGCTTTCATTTATTTGTTCAAGTTCGAGGGGACCAGTCTTATCATTTATTATTTAGCTATATAGTAGCCCTTTCCAGTTAGTTAAAGTAAATGACTATATGCGGGATATGTTTCAGCAGCTTGTATATCTTAAGTCCTCAACCTTCACTTGTTCAAAATTGAATCTAACCCACCTTCTCAACTGAGCATCAAATGCTAGATGCAAGGAAAAAAAGGATACAAGAGATGCAGAATACAATTAGGCAGTATTGCTAGCTTATACATCTAGATTATAACCATTCCTGTTCACCTTATTGTCCCATAACTTCTTCTATGGGAGAATTACTCAGAACCTTGAGAAGTACTCAAACGAAAAAAATTTATTTGCACAGAATTTCATCATGCCCATTCCATTTTTATGATTTCATCACATTTGCGAGACGTGTACGCCAACATGGAAAATAAAAGCACACCATAAATTGAGTATAAGTATTCTGATGAATGCATACAACCCAAGAATAATCGTTATGTAAAAACTCGCAGTCAATTCTACACTCTGTTTTTTTTTTTTTATCATTATTCTAACTTAATACAATCTAACTGCTCAAATTAATTCAAACAATTTTGGCATATGAAATACAATCGCCCGATAAACAAAGCAATCAAGTTTATATGCAGATCACCTTCGCTGCAGATACAGCTGCTTGACCCAAGTGGGATCGGAAGTCATTGTTGATGTTTGGCTGCATGTGTAGAATTTCTGTCAGAATTTTATAGCAATCAGTAATGGAGAATCACAGTTTAGCTAAAAGGAAGCAAGGAAAACCAAAATAAAAGGAGAATTACAGCAGGAGCTTCTTCAATTATCTTCTGATGTCTTCTCTGGACACTGCAATCTCTCTCGTTAAGATGTATTACATTACCAAGTTTGTCCCCAAAGATCTACAAATTGTAGTTTAGATAAACATAAGTTCAGAGTCACATGTTCCGAATTGCTTTAATTATGATCTTGGTTGTAGGTGTTGGGAGCACGAAATAAAAGAAATTTATGAATTATATTTAGCTCCTGTTTGAGCCGCATTTCTCAAAAATCTATTTTTTTCCAATCTCATTTCCAACCACACATTCTCCAATAAAATAATTTTACACATAAATCCAAAACGTTTCACTACTTTTTAACCACACATTCTCCATAAAATCACTATTACAAAATCTATTTTTTCACCAAAAAAAGGGGCTCAAACAAGGGCTTATATTATATCGGTCATGATAGATAAATAAACAGTCAATAGCATAACAAGATTGACGAAACCAAATAAGTATACCTGGACTTCTATGTGACTTGGTTTTGTAATATATTTTTCCAGCAAGATTGTGTTTATGCCAAAAGATGCAGCAGCCTCACGTTGCGCTCCCAAGAATGAATCGACAAAATCATTGGGACTCTGAACAATTCTCATTCCCTGAAAGTGGCAAACAATAAACCTCGGATAAATTATGGTTCCAACCCCCATCCATGATCGTGTCATTGTATAGATGATCAGTGATAGTGGTCTCCAACTAAGAATAAGTAAACAGAAATGCCTAAGGTAAATGCTAAATGCTATATGTATGAATCCAAGATTAAAATAGAATTTGATGTCACATGGTAAGAATCAAAATTATGCATAACTGGGAAATTTAAGCCTGAAAGCAGCTAAAATAAGAATTGCTCTGAAGCAGGCTTTTAACCATCCAAACACTTGCACACCTACCAATTTTGACTGGAATTTTGCATATAATACCAAATTTTATTACATCCTAGTATTCTAGTTCCATCACGTATCTCTTGCCATTTCAGCTACAGAAAATTTAAAAGCTAGGAATAAATAAGAAATGGAAAACACAGTTCATAAAAACAAAAGGTGCACAGAGATAAAATACACAAGGCATTACATCTACCATAGTTGCAATCATGAACAAGCTCAGGATCTTAATATTCCAAGAATTATAATAATCATTATACAAAACTCAATAAAAGGCACACCTTTCCTCCACCTCCATGAGTTGGCTTGATTAAAATAGGATATCCAATTTTGTCTGCTTCTGACTTCATAAAATCAATATGTTGATCATCACCATGATATCCAGGCACAAGCGGTACTCCTGCAGCACCCATTATTCTCTTTGATGCACTGAACAGACAGTCAACTCTATACTAATTAATAATCACGGAACATGAAAAATTATCAATTATTAGAACTATTTATGAGTTTTATGATGGGATAAATGCGGATTCTATTAAGCACTAATTATACATGCATTGAGAAGCTCCTACCGTCTTCTTAAACTAGAAAAAAGACAGAAACTCATAAATAAAAGTAATTAACTTAGTACTTAATTTATTTATTTTGATAATTAAAAAAAAAACTTGTTTATGTGAACCCACATTAGCTTATTGAATATTATCTGTCAAACGGACGGTAACAATATCCAAAAAATAATTAGTGATGAATACAACGTGCAATGCACGTGGAGTTGGATATTATACATGTCAAAGGAATGTAAGTCATACGTTATAGATATCGTTCACCCATGTTCTATTCAAGGTTTTACATAGAGGATGTGAAGTTAGAAAAATTCTCTTATCTAAAACAAACATGAACATATATCCATGAACACTCATGGGGCGAAAATGCTGCCTTGGGCTGAATTCGGCTTTGCGCCGACACTTATACATGAGTGGGACCCACCATTAGCCCATTAAGCAGTGTTCCTTGGGAAATAATGTATGAGTTATACAAAGATAAGAAGCAACGAAAAAATAATAATGAATGTGAAGATGATTAAACTGCACCGTGATTTACCTTTTATCCCCCATGTCACGAATTGCAGATGCGGGAGGTCCAATAAATGAAAACCCCTCATCTTCACAAAGTTGAGCAAAATCAGCACTTTCTGATAAGAAACCGTAACCTGGGTGGATAGCCTAATCATCACAGAGAAGATGTCCCACATTAAAAGTAACGCTATATGAAACAAAACAAAGCAATACAATTATCTATTATGCAAACAAGAATATTGAGATTGAACCGAGTACAGAAGAATCACAACCATGAGTCAACCAGAATACATAACTATGCAGAAAACGAGAACGTGAGTGCCTACAAATATACCTGGTACAAATCATCCATTCCTTTTTTATGTTATCAATAACATTCCCTTCATCAAACAAATATCCCATTCACTTAAGCAGAGTTTATATATTAAACAATTTAGTTCAAATTCTAAAAATATTATTGTATTTTCAATGTAACTCATTTGAGGAAGAGTTTCCAATAAGGAAAGGCTAAGGCTTGGAACTATGAGGTTTCACAGCTGTACAGGCAATAATATGATTTATTGTTTACAGTTACTATTGCCTTTCCTTTCAAATCAAGAGGAGAAACAAATTAGATGGATGACGGTGGCAAAGTGATGACTTGGTGGAACTACAACCAGACTCAAGCGTTGCAGCACTTAAAGAGGAAATATCCATTTCTTCTCTCAATGCTGCTACCGATGGGTTACCTGTTATCTTGATGTCAAGTATGATTGTATAAGCTTTTTAGGAAATCTATTGGAAACTTCCCGTAGTTAAAAGAGTAATACTATTTCATTTAAATGCAGTCATACAATTTTATTAAACAAATAAAGTGTGGCCACCTAAACTAACGTGCTAAATAGCACTATCCTAGTTAAAAACATCCAAAATCTTACCTCGTGGGCTCCCAGACATTATACTCGATTAAGAAGTATTACATTTCTTTTAAGTGAAATTTTAAGATATCCATTGCTTTCACATAATTAATTTTCAATCCAAATCTTTTCATACTCTAACCTTTTCAATGAAAGAATAAAAATAAATAAAAACCAAAAGACATAAATGCAACTAAAAATATCCATTTCTCACGACTAATAGAACTTGAGAGTTCTTTTTTTTTTGTAACCTGTGCCCCAGTTTTATTAGCGGCTTCGATAATCGCCGAAGAATTCAAGTAACTGAGCCGGGCAGGCGGAGGCCCAATTCTGACAGCTTCATCAGCCGATTTAACATGTAAACTGTACTTGTCGGCATCGCTATAAACAGCAACGGTTCGAATCCCTAATTTCTTTGCGGTTCGCATAATTCTGCATGCTATTTCGCCTCTGTTTGCTATTAAAATCTTCTCTATTCTCCGGTTGTCAAAATCCGGCGTTGATGAGAACAAACTCAGCCGAGTATTTAAGGATTTGATATTAAATTTTGTTCTCCGGCAGAGAATTCCGGTCATCGGCGACATTGTGTTGACACGCAGTTGCGAGCTTGGGGAGTGTGTTGTTTGAGTAGGGAGAAAATTCACGGGAAGAGAGATAAATAAGCCAATTTTTTTATTATTATTTTCTAATAAATTATTTTAGAACTCGATATTTCTTAAATTTATCCTTGGCCCAAACTCCGATTCGATTTGATCCTATATGGTGCATGCGTGGCAAAGTTGACCAAACCTAAAAGGAAAATTGCCACGAATGGTCCCTAATGTATGGCTCGTGCACGGAAATAGTCTTAATTCTTCTATTCTTGTCAGTGACTCCCTCAACCTATCCTTTTTGACAGGTTCTTCAATCCATGCCACTATTTATCTCCATTTAAAATAAATTTTTTTTAATTCTCATACTCATTTTCAATCATACATTCAAATAATAAAATATTTTACAAGTAAATAAAACAAAATCTACATTTTAACCACGCATTCTCCAAAAAATAACTATTCAAAATATCATTTTTTTTAATAATGGCAATCAAATAGGGACCAAATGTGAGAGTAAAATGGTCAACTCAAGATGTTTAACAAATTAGGTCATTTAACTTAAAACAAAGGGTAATTATATTCCCATCACTTTTTTTATTTCTTGCATCACATTTTAGTTGTACTTAAAGTTCTTAATCTTTACTCATTATAGTACTATATCTCTAATAATTTTTCATGTCATTCTTACCTTCATATTTTTTATTAGTTAACATATTTTATATTTGATAACAATTTTATATCCAAAAGTCTGTTGAAAAATAACATATTTTCCATCATATTTTTAAAAAATAAATAAATAAAAAATGCGAAAAAGTAATCAAAGCATGAAGAAAATTTGATACAAATTCATGGAAGGTTATAAATAAGAATTCAATGAAAAAAAGTTAAGAAAATAATTGTTACAATGAACAAAGATTGAAGAGTTTAATCGCAATTAAAAGTGGTGTATCAAATAAAAATTGTATCGCTATTTACATTCACAGTCATCCCCCTTCTATCCCATTCCATCCCCACTCCCACACACACCAATAACCGCCTCTCTCCTATGTCCAAAGTCCTCTCATCGCAGCCTGCACCGTCACCGTTATTTAATTAAAAAGTTTTATGATGTTCCACATATATATTCTTTTTAACGTCACCGTTACATATGTACGTGCACGAAGGGGTAGGGTACAAAGTATCATATAATACTACAAGATGATGAATACTTATTTTCTTTTTTGATATCATGCAATTTTGAATGATAAGCCTTGTTCATAATATGGCATTAGTGATATTATTATTTCTTTTCTTTTTTGGAAATTTCAAAAAGAATTGTTATTATTTAGTGTAAAAATGAAAAATGATGTAAATATATATATATTGAGAAACATTCCATGATATTACATTATTTTGTAGGGGCTTCCAGCTTCAATTTGGCCAAGGAAATATCATCCGCCTTTCGTCGCGAGTAATTTTTAATTGGGCTTTTTGGAGACAATATTAAAGAAGAAAAAAGATGTTAAACCCCTTCCATCCCGTCGAATACTGCATACATACCGATCATGTTGTATTCGTATCTGAGCTCACACATTGTTGCTATGCATTTCTGATTCATCTGTTGCAGATTTTGGTTTGTATGTATGAAGCATGAAATTGCATGCTTCAACTGCGTCTTCCACTGTTAGAAATATCCATTCCTGTCCTATTTTCTCAATAAATTTAGAATTGTTCATCTTCTTCATCACCTCTGCCACGGGATTCACCAATCCAAGCTGCTCAACCAACGACAGTTGAATCAATCATATGGATGACGACAAATTTATTGAAAATAAAACTATTTTGGAGCAAGAGAGAAATACGAACCTTGAGCTCTCTTCGATCGAGGATCTTTTTGACCTCTTCTAGCATACTAATACCACTCGTGTCAATATTTCCAATGGCTACAAATAAAAGATTTATGGCATATGAGAAGTTGAAAGTAACGGATTAAGCACTACACCTTACTTTACGAATGCAATAATAAGGCCTTGTTTAAGCCAAATTATTATAGAATAAGAATGAAAAATATAATCGTTATTGGGGTCCACACAAGAGATAGAAAATTTGAATTTAAATATTAATGATAACGGTCATTTTTTCATTTTAATGAAATAATAATATAGATCAAACATGGGCTAAATAGAACAAAATCAGATAAAAAGCAACTCAAACATTCAAAATGGGCCTCTTAAAATTCTTTATATGGTAGAAACCTTAGGATGGTTTAACACATATATAGAATACCCAATATGCCCTTAAAATATTTGCTGCAGAGCCCAACATAGACTTGAGGTATCCTTTTTCCTAAGAGATCCAAAGGTCACACACTTACCACTCATATCAAGTATAACATATTGTAAGCTGGTTTCTCCAGAGGACTTTAACCTGTCCTCCTCGTCGTCGATCCATCTCGAAATTCTGCAAAAAAGAAAAACAAGAGTTGTTTACATATTTGATATGTTAAACTAAACAACACTGGACGTGATTAATGCAGAAATCAAAATGAAAACATTGTCCACCTTTCTCTCAAGTAGCTTGAATTAGCAAAGTAAATAGGACCATCAATCTCAAGTACTAGAACTCCTGAAACATTGTTCGTGTTGGGGTATTGATCAACATTTCTGTAAATTTTCGAACCCGGGATGTTACCAAGAACTAAGGTCCTTGGTCTTGCAATAAACAACAATAATCTAAGCAAAGATAGCCCAACCTGCAGCTTTTAAATACACAATCAGTTTCTATATATGGACACTTAACGCGGTACTGAATGATGAGCACGTTTGTTAAACATGTGTGCATCAAGCAGTCGACCAACAATGAATTGGGATGAGAAAAAAACGTATACGCACCGCCATGATTAAGCCAATCTCAATGTTGGTAAAGACAACACCAACGTATGCACTCATACATACTAAGAAATCAAATTTGTCTATATGCCAGAGATGAATGGCTGCTTCATAATCAATGAGGCCTAGCATTGCACCAACTATAATTGAGGACAGAACAACAAGTGGAGTGTAATGGAACAATGGAGTTAAGAATAACAATGTTATCATCACTGCAATTGCCATGACTATGTTAGAAACTGCTGTTTTGCATCCTGCATTGACGTTCACTGCTGATCTCGAGAACGGCCCTGGAAAGTTACATAAAAGCAACATTTAGAACCCAAGTGAAATGAAAATTGGATTCCTGTGACACGATAAGAACTAGGTCCCGACCTAGCTCAAGGCTATAGTCATGAACCTCATATGGTTTATAGTCCTATAAACAGCACGACATGTCACGTCCATCACTTTAATGAACCCAAACTCGTTGCAGAAAGTCGTAAGCCAAACTTTATTCAATGTCTGGTAACCTTTTCAGCCCCGACCAACTTTAACGATTCAAGTTTGTAAAATAAAATAGTGTTGATACCTGAGGTGAGGTAGCAGGAAGTGCAAGAACCAGCAATATTCATCATTCCAAAAGCAATCATCTCTTTGTTCCCATCAATGTTGTAATTCTTGTACATGGCAAAGCTTCTGCCCACTGCAATGCCTTCCTGTCCCATTCATGCACATAGCACATGCTTAATTTTGTTTATTTAAATTTTTTAACCAGTCCACTAGTTTAAACCCAGTTCAAAACTCTCGACCCTTTACCTTTTCCTCGTCAGTGACCTTTACCTTTTTCTGGTCTAGAATAATAGTCGATGTTTGGTGGGCCAAAATCGTAATGATAAAAGAGCAAACAAGAACAAATTATTCATTCTATTGTTAAATCCTATTGAATATTGTGTTCCAAACTTACTGCGAGAGCAATTAAACCCGTGACTATCCCAGTTTTGATTGCTGTGGTCAAATAAGCCGATCCAAATTCCAGATCCGTTATTGATAGAGGATTTATCCCTTTCTTCAAGTCTCCTATCTGTATATACATACAATTCCAAATTGTACACCATGTAAGAACTCTTATTCCCAAACCAAAAAAAAGAATACTAAGTGCTAAGGACAATCCAAGCAAGTTTGTCTGAACATGTGCAATTGTGCAACCTACATGAATTCACATGCACACGATGAATTAGTACACAATGATATCACAATATCGAGTTATCTTGTTTTTACAAGATTTCCCAAGACAAGATTTGTTCCACCATATTTCCGTGAACATAAATTGATCACACATGCGTATGGTATACATGTGACAATACCAAATTATCAAATTCACCACTTAGATGTTGTCTTAAAGCGCAAATGAGGTAAAGGACAAGACTTTACCAAAAAAGTAAGAAAAACCAAGGACCATTCATTCAACAATTGTCCAAACATGTGTACGGACATTAATTAAACTCATGTGCACGTAATAAACACACGTCACTTAGAATGCCATGTTTTTCAGGACGAATGAGGTAAACAAGAAGATGTCCGAAGGCACAAAAATAATAATAAAGGCCAAGGACCACCCATTCAAGAGTTGTCCAATCATGTGGACGAACAAGAATTGAACTTACTTGCACATGATACACACGTACAATACCATATCAAGATATGGGGTTTATCAGACTCACCACTTGGATGCCGTGTTTTTCAGCGTGAGTGAGGTAAACAAGAAGAGTTCCCAAGACAACTGATGTCAGTGGTGCCATTGCTGATATCCAGAACAACTTTGGTTTCTTTTTGCTCTACAAGTAAATAATCGCACACGGATATAAGTTTTGTTAATAAAAAAAGTAACCTTAGATAAAATAAATAATTACTTTTAGGCTCAACCAAGCATATATTTAGGCAAAGTTCATAATTAATGCTGCTTGATATAAAAAATAATAATTATTAGAATTTAAATTACTTACAAAATATCTAGAAAGCAGGAGGTAGAAAAGGAAACCAATTCCCAGTACAGCACTTTCCCATCTCCACTGCAAGACAAAGTTATCGACAATGTCAGCTGTACTGTGGGTACAGGGTGGGGTTCTGTACCTCACAATAGGG